GGGGTTGTTAACCAATGTCATAAAACAATATGTGTACTACTGTTTCATGAGAAACTATTTGTTCTGTAAGCCTTCACCTGAAGTACAATAAAAAAAAAGAAAAAAGAAACTTGGCAGAGAAGGGAAGGAAACATCAAGAGAATAATAGGGATTAAAGGACTCATACATGTTGTGAGTGCAACAGAAGCTGAGGTGGGTGGACAAGAGAATCTTTCAAGCCAGAATAGTCAGGAAAGGCTTTATAAAGACATATTTCTTCTTTTCTATATCAAACACTTTGATATTTTCAGGTTTAAACTTCATATGAACCCAAGCAGATCTGTGATGTTTCCTGTAAAAAAAACATGTAAAGGTCCTTTTCTTATTTCCCTTACCTCTTTATTTAAAATTGGGTTTAAAAAATATTTTTAGTAAAACAGTAAAGAGGAAAAGATTCTACGTAACCAAAATAAGTGCACAGAAGATTGAACATAGTTAATTCTTTTCAGAAATTATGTTAGTCTACAAACTGTGGGCTTCTTTTGTTAACTTCACAATTTCCATTTCCAGCCCGCCCAAAAAAAAAAAATCACATAAAAATGAAAAAGCTGCAAGAGAGACAAATTCTTAAGACTTTACAAACAACAATTTAGTTGTCTTAGTAGCCTACATTTTGAGCTGGTTCTTATTTCCCAAGGAATCATTCACTGTCATGGATTGAATTGTGTCTCCCAAAAATATTTGTATCAATCAATTTGGCTAGGCCATGATTCCCAGTAATGTGTGATTGTCCACCATTTTGTCATCTGCTATGATTTTCCTTTGTGTTGTAAATCCTATCTCTATGATGTTAATGAGATGGGATTAGTGGCAGTTATGTTAATGAGCCAGGACTCCATCTACAAGATTAGATTGTGTTTTAAGCCAATCTCTTTTGAGATATAAAAAAGAGACGTGAGCAGAGAGACAGGGGAACCTCATACCACCAGGAAAGTAGTGCTGGGAGCAGAGCTTGTCCCTTGGACCCAGGGTCACTTCACGGAGAAGCTCCCAGACCAGGGGAAAATTTGATGACAAGGAACTTCCCCCAGAGCCAGCAGGGAGAGAAAGCCTTCCCCTGGAGCTAGCACCCTGAATTTGGACTTCTAGCCTACTAGACTGTGAGAGAATAAACTTCTGTTTGTTAAAGCCATCCACTTGTGGTTATTTCTATTGCAGCAGCACTAGATAACTACAATAACAATCTCCAGCTTTCAAGGTTTTACTCAAGGAGGATCTAAGATTTTTTTTTTAATAACAGAACTAAGCTCATCTGTCATACAAGCAAAAGTTTGCTTTTTGTTAAAATATATTTACTATGAGTGATAGGTATCAGTGTTACTATTTTAAAACCTGTGCTGTGCTTCTTATGTATGATTACTTGATGAACATATCATTTATAAAATCAACAAGTTTAGAATGTAGCTGCAGATTGTGATCATATTTGCTTTCTGTTTCAGTCTTAGGACCATCAGAAAATCTTCAGATCATCAAGTAATAGGCAATTAACTATCTGTACAGAGCAATTTACACACTGTGTATAGCAAGAATTTGATTATAAATAACAGACAGTGTAAGAATAGAAAGGACATCATGAAGGAAGAAGTAAAAAATGTGATTACCATAATTTTAATTATTTTTACAGTTCTCCAGAGATGTTTCCCTGCCTTCTCCACTGACAGCGGCACTTTGACAGTGGGAAATAAGACAACGTTCGAGGATGGAAGTGGAAAGACAAGAAATGTTATGGAACTCAGGGCAGCTGCAAAGTATGTTTGTTTACATTTCCATTCTCGGTTTTGATGCATCCCTTATCTACCCATGACTAAAGCTCCCATTAGGTTAAGGGTTATTGGAGAAGAGTTATATATTATAATGAAATGTACATGTTACTGTGGGTTGGAGAATTTGGTATATGTGTATTAAGCAAGTAAAGAAGGAGAAACCAGAATGAATTAGAAGGAATAATGCGTAGCACCCAGTGTTTTTCAAAATGGTTAAATTTTTTGTTATCAACAAGTGTAGAAATACGACATCAGGAAACACTGAAAAACCTTTATATAATTTACTTTGAGAATGAACATAATAATAAAAAAACATAGTTTTTAAAGCAGCATGGTTTTTAAATGACTGAAATAATGAAACTGCTAGATGTTGTGAAAGTGGGTGTAGGGTTAAAAAAGGAGACACAGTCACGACAATGCTGTTTCGATGCTGTACCAAATTTCTAGGTTCTAAATGCAGTGCTGAAAATTTACCATTTCTCTTGGCTGTGCACACCATGGTGCTACACATTATTGGGAAGTGTTTTTTTCCCAATAAACACACAGAGTATCATTGCATAATTAGTTGTTGAATTAAAAATAAAAAATGAAGATATTTTAAAAATGTATTTCTCTTTCTTGAAAAACTAGCAGTCTAGGTAGAATAGCACAGTTCCTGCATGTTTAAAATATAATAGCAACATGGATGTATTTCACAAATATAAAACTGTGAAAGAAATCACAAAATAATAATACAATATGAATCCATTGATAAAATTCAAAAACAAACAGAACTAAATTAAATTGTCCAATGATTCATATGTAAGTTATAAAACTAAGAGGAAAACTAGGAGATTATCACAAAGGTTAAGATAGTGGTACTTACAGGGAAGGGGAGGTGTAATTGAGGCACCTGGGAGAAGGGGATGACAATGTTCTATTTGTTGACGTGGGTGGGTTGTAGTTATACCAGTATGTTCACTTTGATAATTCATCACACTGGACACTAATCATTTGTGCACTTTTCTGTATGTGCCCCATCATACCCTCCTGCTACAGAGCTGTCAGAGGATTAGGGAAGGACTTTTTGAAAAATGCTGCATTAGGGGAATTAAGGATGATGTTCATTCTTCATGCTATGGATTTTGAAAGTTAAAAGCTGATCATTAAATTCTGTTCTTACAGTGAAGTTTCTGCAGTATTGAGACCATGTTGTATACATTGGAAAAAGAGCTGTTTACCATTTTTGAACCGTGCTCTCTTTGTGTGCGTTTGTAGCCCCCTGTGCAGGGTTATCAAAGTGACATTTCATGTTTCCTTGTGGCTGGGAAAGGAATCACTACTGGCAGATGGTTTCTACAAACATGCTTTGAATAGCAGCTTGCAAAATTCCTTTTATCATAGTAAGAATATTTCTGTGTAATGGTAGTCAAAAAAATAACTGATTTTTTTCTTCTTTGAATTCAGTGGTATTAATAGACTCCTTAAAGCAAGGTCAGTTGGAACGAAGGTGTTTGAAGACTATTCAACGTCTTGGTTTTGGATTCTCATGTAAGTGAAAATACATAGGTATTTCTTCTCCCACCCCATTCTGATTTTAGATCTGTAGAAGTCTTTCTTCAAATTATTTGTTCTTATTTGTGAATAACAGGGTTGACTCAGATTTCAGTTCCTGCCATTTTCTTTTCAGATGGAGTGAGGACGGGTGCAGAGGTATTTGTAAATATGTCCAGTGTTAGCAGAAAGCTATAAGAATGTAGATTTTTAATTTTGCTCATTAAATTACTAATGAAAATACTCTTAGAAATATACTTCAAGCCTCTTGGGACAGTATCTGTAGTACATGTGCTTCTTATCTCAGATGAACGTGGCAGATATTCCTCTGGTTCTCTTTTATTCGTTTGCCCCTCCCTTGACATCCTAAGGATCATTCTTATTTTTTAACACGTCTCTTCCACATAATGATTGTTATGATCGTCCTCCAAGGTCATTGTTGTGAGGAGCTGAAAAAATACATGAAGGGAAGTGGAGATTAAAAATTTTCAGACACAAGATTTGCATTCCTGGAAAGATGAGGGAAAACGCACTCACTCTACTAGGCCAGGTAAATGTGTATGACATATCTAAGGCTGTCATTACTATCTGGCTCTTTTGTCTTTTAGTGCTTAAAAGCATCTATTGTTCCCTAATGATCGAAGAATAAAGTTAAAACTTCTGCAAATATGTACAAGGCCCTTTATAACCTGGCCTAACTTAGTTTCCTAGACTCATCTCTACCTACGTTCCATGATTAACTTTATATTCTAAGCACATCAGACAATGTACCCATTCCTATACTGTGTAACCTGGCATAACCTTCTTTGTCCTTCTGGACAACTCCACCTCATCCTTTAGAATCAGCTTTAGTGTCATTTATGGAACCTTTCCTGACTTCTTCAGATACAAATAATTACTTCTCTCTCTATGTTCCTCTTATCTGTTGTGTGTGTGTGTGTATACATACCTATTCATACACACACATTCCTATCTTCTATTTAGCAACTTGGCTTTTTCCTCCTAATGAACAATGAACTCTTTACAATGGTAACTATGTCTAATTCATCTTTATTTTCCTGATACCTAATATGGTACCTGCAACATAATAGGTGCACAGAAAATGTGGCTTTAAAGAACAGTTATAAAAACACTAAGGGAGCAAGACAGATATGTTTAATCATAGGGTGTTTATTAAAGCTAAATGGTATTGTGTGTAAAGTACTAGTGAGTAGTTCATAGAAGTGTAAAACTAGATAGTCTTGTAAGATTTTACTCTTTTTGATGCTTCACCTTAAACAATTACAGTAATTACTTTTAAGAGTTAAAAAATATCTTCATAGAGGATAGTGTATTCTATATTTGACAATAGTTAAACTGGTTCCACTATGGTCAGACCCAAAAGTCACTGGACAATTTCCATTTCTCTTCTTCATATTGTTTTTTCTGCTCTTATCTGAAAAGGTGTACATTATGATAGACTCTCCTGCCCTGCTTTCCCATGACACGAACACTGAAACCCTCTCCACCCAGGCACCACTCATACCGCTAGAACATAAACACCACCCTTTATTTTCAACTCTTCTGCTCCTATCTATTTTATAAATATGAAGTCAAAGTACCATTCTAGTGGGACTTAGTTTATTCAACTAGACTTTTTTTGTAATTTATTTTATCTTTGTTGTTGTTGTTGAGAATATAGACAGTAGAACATACACCAATTCAACAATTTCTGCATGTACACTTCAGTGACACTGATTATATTCCTTGAGCTGTGCAACCATTCTCGCCCTCCTTTTCCAAGTTGTTCCTCCCCCATTGACATAACCTCACTGCCCCCTAAGGTTCCTGTCTAATCTTTGAGTTACTGTTTTCAATTTGATCCCAGATAGATAGACCTTAAAAGAGTATAATGCTCAAGATAGACCTTCTTTACTAGTTAAGCTCAGCTATTGTTGGGTTTTAAAAAGACTGCAGGGGATATTTTTGATTTAGGGTTCAAAGATTATCTCAGGGCAATAGTTTCAGGGTCAATAGAATGTTTCTGTAAGAATTTCAAACACAGAATAAACAAGATTTTTTTTCATCTCTGATGTTTTTGGGTATTCCCCTTTGACTGTGCCATAGAACAACACTTCAAACATATCGAATATTTAAGCATTAAAGTAGCTGCGATTTTTAAGAGGCAGTGGCTTCTGAAATCAAAAGCATAGGCTCTGCAAGACTATGATCTTAGGAGGTACTTCAATCTATGCTGTCATCTATTCAGTGATGGCAATTATTAAGATTATAAAAAAAGATAACACTGAGACAATAAACGCAATAAACGTACCAGTCTCTGTCTTGCTATGCTTGGAAACTTGCAAATAGCACCAGAGGTGTCAGTTCTTAACAGAAAAGTCAGTCAAGTTTCCAATCTTAGTGAGTTCTCTTTGTGGAAATTACATCAGTAGAATCCAGTATGACCTTAACCTGAATATGGGGAAAAAAGACTCTTCTCAGGAGCCCAGACAAACACCAGGAGAAATTAAAACAGAAGTAGAATAGTCATGCTATTGATTGGTTGAGAAAGCATCTTGGCCCAGGAGACACAGAAGCCTTACCCACAGATCACCGGGGACCTGAAATAGAGGTTTGTGGCTGTCAGGCATCACAAACTACTACAGCTAATTAGAGCATAGTGATAATGAGCATAAAATCATGGGTTTAGGAACTGTGTTATTTTTCTTGTCTTCCTGCCTTCACTTACTTCCAGACAGTCATCTTGCAGAAGGTTTTCATTAGTCACCGGTAGATAGATCAGCACAAATTCATTATGAACATATTTCATAATTTATCACCTAGTAGGTAGGTGTGAAGGAGCCCTGGTGGCACGGTGGTTAAGACCTTGGCTGCTAACCAAAAGGTCAGCCACTCTGCAGGAGAAAGATGTAGCAGTCTGCTTCCATAAAGATTTACAGCCTTGGAAACCCTATGGGGCAGTTCTACTCTCGTATAGGGTCATTATGAGTCAGAATCGACTCAACAGCAATGGGTTTGTTTTTGTTTTTTATTTTATTTTATTATTACTATTATTTTGGTTAGGTAAGTGTGAAGAAAGAAAGAAATTGGCATCTGTGGCAGATAGTCCAAAATTGTAGGTTGGAGGAATTGTGTTTTTCCTTGACCAATGATTGATACTAGACTTCATTTTACCTAGATACACAGTGATGTCTCCTTTATTATAAAGTCTCTGATGGTCCCACTCTCTAACACAAAAATCTGAATAGAAACCATTGTTTTTATATTTTTTAAAGCTACAAATGTTTCTGTAGTCAAGTTAAAATAATCTGAGAATCATTTTGAATAGAAAAAAGTGATATCTTGATGTTTTTATGTTATATTCAGCACACTTGAACACTGTCTTTCTTGTGGGCTTTTTCCTCTAGGGGCCTGATTATCGCCATGGTCCTTAGTTGGGTGTTTTTGATACTCCTGAAGTACACAGCTGGATTTCTCTTCTGGATCTTCATGCTGGGTGTGCTCGGAATTATAGGATATGGTAGGTATCAACCCTCTTAAAATCGTCAAATATCTGAATAATCTTTTTCCTTTCAGTTGCCATTAGCCATTACCACAAAGCATTTACTTGTGGTTGATTTAATTTACTTTTACAAAAAAAAAATTTGTTAAATTGAGAAAACATAATTTTTAATACATTGTCTCTATAACTGTTTTCTTCTTTTTCTTGAAAAAAAAATGCTGTAAGAATGTTCCACTCTTTTCCACACCAGCTTTTGGTGTCATGCCTCCTGGGTATTAAGAAGAAATAATAATCTCTTTTAGATCAATGAAACCACTTCAGGCTTTTTTTAAATTCCTTTAATTTTCTTTCTGATCAAAGGCCAGATCTGCATAGTTACAGAAATGTGACATATTTTTCTCTTTCAACCCAGGTAGTACTTTTAGTCCAGGTACTGTTACACCTTTTAATAATTGGTCAGTACTCCACAATGGAAGCCCTGGTGATGAAGTGGTTAATAGCTCAGCTGCTAACCAGAAGGTTGGCAGTTCAAATCCACCAGCTGCTCCTTGTAAACTCTATGGTGCAGTTCTACTCTGTCCTATAGGGTCTCTGTGGGTCAGTATTGACTTGACGGCAACGGGTTTTTTTTGGCTATTCCACAATGAGGCATCACCCTCTAGAGGCAAGTATTCTCAACTACAATTATTAGATGGAGAGTTACTTTATTTCGAGATTGAAATTTAACCACTAACTCAATTCCCCAAAAAGCAATATATGTAAATACTAAAAGAAGGAATTCAAGTCCCTCCCATGGAACCAGTTGCCACTGAGTTGATTCTAACGCATGGCGATCCCATGTGTGTCAGAGTAGAATTGTGCTCCATAGGGTTTTTAATGGCTGATTTTTTGGAAGTAGATTACCAAGCCTTTCTTCTGAGACAACTCTGGGTGGACTCAAACCTCCAACCTTTGGGTTAGCAGCCAAGCATGTTAGCCGTTTGCTCCACCCAAGGACTCCCTCCCATAGAACAGTATATCACTTATGGCAGTTTCCTTTCAATCTTCTAAAAAAATATGGGTCAATCTATGAGTTTTTGAGATGTTTCTATTCAAAAGAATTATTTACCCTACAATACTATTTGGATTGACAACCAGGTTTTATGGTAGCAGAAACTAAAAGTAACAATCTCCTCTTTCTCTGTCACTCAAAGAAAAAGGATTTACACATATTTGCATAAGTATGCTGTTGAAACTCCCAGGTTCTGTAGTTAGCCTGGGTTCTAATTCCAGCTGCATAACTTAAAACTAGTAACTGTGGAAGAGTTTCTTAATGATTGTAAAACCCAGTTTCTTCATCTGTAACATCAGCACAATAATGGTATCTCCGTATTAGAAAGTTGTGAGATCAATCAAATGGGATAGTGTACATAAATCTCTTACAATACCTGAAACACAGGAAGCACTCAATCCATTTGTATTGCGTTATTGTTGCTGTCCTCATCTTCATTCTGAATGAGTTTCTAAGCAATAGTTCAGGTCTCCTCAGGTACTCCTTATCTGCTCCTGCTATGCAGCTCCTCAAAATCTCACCTGGGCTTCCTCTTGGAGCACAGCCAGGTAACAGATCAGAAGTGGGTCAATCTGACGGAGAAACACAAAGACTGCAGTCCCTTAATCAGAAACTCCAAAAGAAAGCTTTTTGTTTACAAGTCTTGTTTTTGTGTTCCTGTTTGGAGCTCAAAGTAACCCCTGCCCTTTGCCACTGGAGAGTCTGGGATGTGATTCAGTCACTCCTTTATTGTCTTCAAGAAGGCAGGGCAGTAAAGTCTGTTATTGACTTCACCAACTGATGCAGCAAGAAAAATCTGAGATTAGTTATGCTTCAACCTTGGCAAGTCAAAAGGAGGAAAGATGGTCAATATATAAAAAGTGCAGATAAAACAATCAAATTTAGCCCGCTATGTACTCTCTGGGTAGTGCTGACCCAGCAATTAATAGTATGGCAAGTAAGCTTGAAGCTATTCATTGGGTGAAGAAATGTGCAACTAGGTTGGGAAGTCTAAGTAAATAAGACTGCATATAACTGACCTCTGCTACTATCTTGGGCAGCTGACTTTCTACATATAATAGGCACTAGGAAACCAACCATGAAAGCAGCCATGCACTAGGGCAAAAAACAAGGTGAGAGTGTCATATGGAGCAAAGAAAAAGCCAGGCTATATGTTATCAAGTGCCCATGTCAGCAGTGGAACAATTCTCACTGACCAGAACAAGTTAAGAGGTACACAGGAGAGGCCACATAACACTGAGGCTGTAAGCATGGATTTGGAAAATGAGTAAGGCGCAATCCCAGATTCATCACATATTAACTGTGTGATCCTCTGCAAGTATGAAATCTCTCTAATTCACAGTTTCCTCATCTATACAATAGAATCTGAGTTTTGAACAAAATAATGTACATAAAGTACTTAGAAAACTGCCTTGCACAAGGTAAATGTTCAGTAAGTAGTATCTATTGTTCTTGTGCGGTATTATTATTAAGGAAAGAGGACTTTAAAACAAGAGAATGCAGCTTTAAAATAATCTACGGCAGAAGAGAAAAAGGAAAAGGAAAATAAACATAAATTGGAAAACACTGCTGAGACTTCCACATCCACTAATATGAGGGAACTAAATAGTCTGAAGGGTCCTCTTGCTACGAAACAACGGCATTAAGAATAAAATCGTACTGTGTTGCATCATGCTGTGTTGTATTGTTGTGATGAGTTTGCAGGAAATATCTCCAAAAGGAAAAATATTTTAAAGCCATGAGCTTAAATCCAAGTGGTATGAGCAGGAAGCACATATGAAATGCTGGGTTGCCTATACCAATGCTGGAATCAGGAGTCTAAGACCTGAGCCAGCAGCAGAGTAGGGGATCAGATGTGAAACTCTTGGAGTAAGCCTAGGATCCTGGGAAATGCCTAAGGTGGGCCCAGTTTGGTAGCATTTTGGCTCCCAACAAAACAAATGCAAATCCCCTCTAGATCAAAGCACTCTTAATTTAGGTTACTAGGCTCCTACAGATTAAAATCAACAAAATATGAGTCACAATCAAAGATTACCAAAGATACAAAGCAATAGTCAAACATGAGAATCAATAGAAACTATAAACATCAGACTGAAGTTTCAAAAAATTCAGATATTGGAAATAACAGCTATATAATGTGAAATAGCCATGTATAAAATTTTTACAGAATTAAAAAGAGTCACAAAAAATATGAAGATGAACCAAATAGAACTTTTAAAAATAAAAGGTATGATTATTGAGATAAAAATAAAAATAACTTAAATAGAAAAACAGAATTAATGAACAGAAAGATGAATCTGAAGTAATTATCCAAAATACAGTAGACCATGACAAGGAGACAGAAATATGATCATGTGGTTAAGAGAGAGAGACTAGTTTAGAATCGTCTAACCTATGTCAGCCATATTGGAAAGTTATTGGCTGAGAAAAACATGAATCCACAGATACAGTGTGCTGTAATTATACCATGGAGGGTAAAAGAATAGAAATCTTTTTCTATTCATATGTTGATTTATACAACAAATGTCTATTGAGCAGCTACAGTGACAGCACCATCGTACGTAGGATCTTGAGATACAACAGTAAACACACAATTAAAGGTTCTTGCTCTCTTGATGCTTATAGTCTAAGTAAATGATATATTAGAAGGTGATAGTTTCTATGGAAAAAGAAAAAGTAGAGCAGGTAAGGGAGGACTGAGAGTGCCATGGTAAGGTGAGCGGTGAAAATTGTAGTGTTAATCAGGTAAACCATTGGAGAAGAGATCTAACAAAACACTTGAAGGAAGCAGTTGAGTTAGCTAGTGAAAATGAGGAGAAAAAAGCTGAGGGACAGAGTGATTAAATAACTTGCCAACAATATATAGCTAGTAAGTACAAAGCTGTGATTCCTAACCTGTCAGCCTTAATTGAAAGCTCCTGTTCTACATTACACTGCCAGTAATGTGAGAATAGGACTCCCTGGGTGCTGCAAATGGTTAAGTGCTAGACTACTAGCCCAAAGGCTGGCAGTTTGAACCCACGTAGAAGTGCTTCCAAAAGATCACAGCCTTGAAAGCCTTATGGAGCAGTTTTACTCTGCACGCATGCGGTTACCATCGAGACTCGATGGCAACTAACAACAAGAATGGGTAAATGGCATGAACAGACAGTTCACAGAAAAGTAAATAAGAATGGTAAACAAGCATAGGAAAAGATGCTCAGTCTCATCAGTTAGCTGAGAAATGAAAATTAGAACCACAATGTAATACCATTTTATGCCTTCCATATCGGCAAAAATTAACAAGTCTTGTTGATACCAAACATTGGGAAGGATGTGAATCTATAAGAATTTTTATACATGCTTTTGAGTGAGTACACTGGGACACCTCTTTGAAAAATTCTGCATTATCTCAGAAGTTGAACAACTCCCTACCATATGATCCAGTAATTCCACTCCTAGGTGTGTACCCTCAAACTTTTGCATAGCGCCCCTGGATAAGCAAAGCATTTTTGAAGAAAAAGAACAAAGTAGAAGGCCTCATACTACCTGACCTTCAAACCTACTATGCACCCAAACAGTCAAAAAGCCTGGTATTTGTACCATGACAGACACATAGACCAATGGAACAGAATTGAGAACCCAGATGTAAATCCATCCACCTATAGTCAGCTGATCTTTTACAAAGGATCAAGGTCCATTAAATGGGGAAAAGAGAGTCTTTTTAACAAATGGTGCTGGCACAACTGGATGTCCATTTGTAAAAAAAAATGAAACAGGACCCATACCTCACACCACACACAAAAACTAACTCAAAAATGTATCAAAGAACTAAATATAAAACCTAAAATGATAAAAATCATGGAAGAAAAATAGGAACAACACTAGGGGCACTAATACATGGCATAAAGAGAATATAAACCATAACTAGCAATGCACAAATACCAGAAGATAAACTAGATAACTGGGAGCTCCTAAAAATTAAATA